TCACAATATTCAAACCCTATGTTCATTGTGTTGTTGACAACAACTGTCTAAAAGTTTCAGACTTCTAACTTTTATAGTTTTTATGCAGTTTCTCCTTTTCATCAAGTAGTGCCATTCGGAACCAATTTATTGTGCCAAAATGCTTTACTGACATTTCATCATCATAAAAACCATATTTTTTATTATTGGTACTTATAAGTTACTAATCTATGTGATTTATTTAAAAAAAATTGTCAAAGTAAATTTTTTATGAGTGTAAATTCATTGCAGCTTCGAGATCGTCTTTTGACTGCCATTGCGCACACTTATTCCGATGTAAACTAAACCAGTACACATTTGTCCCACCCCTTAATAGAAAGCTTTCCTCATTAGCTACACGGACATGTCATTCAAACGGCCAGGAAGTAGGTGCAAAGCAGTCGAATGAGAACAAATGTGAAGTGACCCCATGCGCAAAACGCAGCCGCAAGTCCAACTCACGGGAGATGTTGCGGACCTAAAATAGTCCTAGCTCTTCATGGAAGGTGTCATTTTAAAGCTAAGGAGCTAAGGAACACGTGGATACCAGATGTTTGGGTGAAAAACAAAGCTAAAAGTCCGTAAACAGTGAAAGAACACCCTCTGTGAATCCGTGTACCCTTCGATCATTAGTTATTCCGTTTCAAAACAAAATCAGAAAAACAAATTACGTGGTTGTTTTATTGTATTTCCATTTTCTAAATTAAATTGGAAAATCAAAACATTCCAAATGAAATATTCACCCATTTCTTTGCTATGCAGTGGAAACAAGCACTACTAAAACAACTTCCATTATTTTGTTTGATATGCTCCCGGAAATGATGAGTGGTGAGAGACAGAAACAACTGCAAGCTGCACTCAACTCAACTCAACGACACGACAACAACTCGCGCTGTTGTTGAGCTCGCCCCCAGGCCCGAGCTCCAGGGGCAAAATGATTACAGCACCATTTGCACCTGCGGACTGTCCTCCCCGGCTCGTAGGCTGCAACCCACTCCCTGCCTGGGAGCTGCCTCAGTCCTCGTTCTGCAGCCCGAGTCCTGCTCCGCGGGGCCTTGGTCCTCATTCTGTAGTTTAAATCCTGGATCTATAGCCCGTCCGTACATGTGGAGCGGATCCCTTTCTCAATATCTGGTCTCCCAGAGGTTTCTCACTTTTCTCCCACTGGGTTTTAGAGTTTTTCTTTTTATGCAGGAGGGTCTATTGGACAGTTAGGGTCTAACAAAAAGGACTGTGATGATCCAGGACACTTTAACATTCTACAACATGTATGACATTTGTGTCTACTCCTTATGGTTCTGTGTTTTTATCATTGTGCTTGTGCTTAAAGTGTTATTCTCTGATTTGTGTTTTGAAAGCTATACAATGTATTATGTGCTTTGGATTTGCCTGATATTTATAAAAAATTTAAAATTAAGTCTCGATGCTCTTTCAATATTATTTATGCATTTATTTGACAGGGACAATGCAGACACAGTCATAAACAAAGCTTGCAGGCGGTCTCCCATCCAAGTATTAACCAGGCCTGACATTGCCTAGCTTTCGAAATCAGACGAGATCGGGCATTCTCAAGGTGGTATGGCCGTAAGCACGGGGGTAAGGAGCAGCGTGCGTCCTGACCCTGCTGCTGCGGTCTTCTCCTCCCCCAGAATGAGCGCTCTTGGGCGGATGGCAGACGCGCGGTCCCCCGGTGGTTTCCAAGGGCCATAACTTTCTGGTCCTTTGTCCCCCGCGCGTCAAATTCACACCGCGGGTAGCCCGGGACCAGGGGAGTCACTGGGTCCCACCCCGCGTCTGTAGCCCCCCTGGCTCGGCTTTGAGGAGCCCGCGAGGTCTCTTCTCTCTTCCGGTGTCGCAAATAATAATAAAACGAAATAATAGTAATGCCATAATACTTTTGAGAATTTTAAACAACTAGAGCCAAAACAAACACATTGATATTGAAGCATAAAGGATTTATTTTTGTATTCAAGTTTAGAAAAGGAAAAGAACAATAAACGAATGGAAATTTAGATTTTCTGATTTTATTTTGAAACGGAATAACTAATGATCGAAGGGTACACGGATTTCTGTGCTCTTTTTTTCTGTTTTTTTTCCGCTAAAGATAAATGCACATTTTTGGATTATTTCTCCAGAATGGATTATACTTCACGAAATACAAGTGGATATTATTTTCCTAAGGACTGTTCCAGAGAGAATGATGTATTGCAAGCTGGGAGGAGATCTGATTTATTTATGCAGCACAAGCCCGAAGGTAAAAAACTATTTCTTAAGTGATTAATTTTGTGCCCACATTATGTGTTATATCTTTTGAATGCAAAGTCTGATGTAGTTGACACTTGAATATAAATGTAGATAAGAAAATAAGCTTTAAAATGATATACAGCTTTTGGGGTTTGGTGTTCAAAATACAACTGCTATTGCCAGCAGAACATTTTAGGGAGTAAAGAGGTTAATACAATTTGAGGCGAGATGTTGATGGTTCCATGTTGTGATATGGCAGCGTTTTAAAGCCTAGAGTATACTTGCGCGGCGTGGCTTACGTTAGCGGTTGCGGTGGACCTACGTAAGCACAATGGATGTTATACTGGCGCGTTCCCCTTACGGAGTTTTGAGGAGACTGTTGTAATCATACAACAAACCACATGAGGGCGATCACACAGGAGCGGTCCCATTTACGCTGCTACTTTGTCCTCTTCAGAACAACATTAGCAAACAAAGCTGTTTGAGTTCATTACATGTGTTTCTACTGCAGGTTTGTGTGATAGTTTTATGGATTCATTATTTTATAAGTCATTTCAACTGTGATTCTGTGAATAAAGACACAGTTCTTGTTGGAAACATAGTTATTATTAAATAGTTTTCAGCACAAACAGCAAAACAATAATAGTGGTAAATATCTGACATAAACGATTTACGAGTGCAGGAGGAAAGCAACAAACGCAGCTACGATTCAAACAAGACAGGAACAGTGCAAAACAAACGACTGCACAGTTTATAAGTTATATATATGTTAGATAGTCCACAGTCTCCTGTTTATCAGGCTCTGAGCCCAAACTGCTTTTCCTTCGAAGCACAAAGCTCTCTGCTCTATAGTGCCTCGTCCATTGTCCCTGCTGCAGCCGCTCCATGCTTCCTTCCAATACACACACACGGACCAATCACAGCGGAGATTCCTTGCGGCACCCCTTACGTAGTTAGAAAATTTCGATGCTGCAGGGCAGGCAACGTAAGGGCCTTGCGGTGACCAACGCGTTGCGCAAGTGACGTCACGTCACCTCCGTAAGCTCCGCGCCGCGCGAGTATAAACTAGGCTTTAGAGTCATAGTTTTGTGTAAAGTTTGGTTTAAGTAGTCAACTGCTGTCGAACCACACTGCTACTGTGTGATAGCACACTGCCCATACGCCATTTAACTGACGTAGGCTGATGACGCGTCCTGTGGCTAACTCAACAGCTGTTTATCAACCCGACAGACCATTTGTAATCTATTAGCTACCGTGAGACGCGCATGTGCAGGTTGGCATTACATTATAAACAGCTGAGGCAGTGTATTTCCAAAAGGCAGTGAGTGTTGGTTTGCTTTGCGTGCAATAACCAACTAAAAGTTTTGTGTTTAAAACGAGAGCTTGTGCATAGAACCTTCCTCACTGGAGGATGAGTTTCAGACGGAACGATTAGACGGTTGCACGAGACGAAAGTGCTCCGAGGGACAGGAAGTACATTTACCCACTAAGAACAATGTAAACATTCACTGATTCTGAGTTAAAATGCTCTTTTTCTGTGGCGTGTGCAGTTGTGGCAACTGCTCATATCAAGTGGGTAACCTATGGAGTCTCTACTTTGCGAAAAAATATTTCTCTAACGGGTGTCAATTTTTAGGAAAATGCCTAATAAGGAAGGGGAGAAATGCGCTAGCATTAGCATTAGCTTGCGTAGCATCTGCGACTACAGACATAAAAGTTTTTACATACTGAAATTCTTCCTCTATTTTCAGTACCAAGTTTACAGAGCTACGTATGTAACCAACTTTTACCACTTATCAGGCATGCTAGAATTCATGGCAACATAATTTTCTCCTTTTAGTTAGAATGGGCGGATGAATTTGGGCGGAAAATTTCAACAATGAGGAGGATTAAGTGGCTGCTATAGTGACAACAATGGAGTCACTCTGGGATCAACAGAACCATGTCCAAGATGACAGTTCTAATCAATAATAACATAAATAGTGCATAAATGTTACTTTTAACAAGATTTGAGGCAAGAAATGTGCCTTTTAATGTCATTTTGGTGATTTGTTAAGCTGTAAATAACAAAAAGTTTGGACTTAAGCTCCAGGCGGAAGCTCCGAAGCGTTAAGCTAACAGCTTAGATTGTACAGCCTGCTTTTAGTTTTTTTTTCATAAGAACACCTTGGTTTGAGACGAAACATGTATTTAACAGTTCTTTATCCCTGTTGCCTCAGTTACTACAACCGTATACCACACAAAAATACTGCATTGTATCAAAGCGAGCCAAGTGAAGACTGACACTGTCAGCTGTGTTTGTGGCAGATACTACGCAGGCTGCTAATGCTAATACTAACGCATTTCTTCCGTTCCTTTTTAGGCATTTTCCTAAAAATCGACACCTGTTAGAGAACACATTTCAAAAAGAGCATTTTGACTCGGAATTAGAGAATATTTACATTGTTCTTAATGGGGAAATTTACTTCCTTTACTTATGTGCAGCTGCGTGACGTCAGCTACAACCCAGCAATTAGGGCTGGGCGAACGGTATAAGTGGTATGCGATACAAATTTTGCCAACGGTAGAGATTTTTGTTATACCGGCATATATTGAGAAAGGTCATTATGTCATCAAATTGCACGGGGCCTAACAGAGGTTAACCCGGCGCTGATTGGCTAAAGCTTGTGCAGGCTGTGACGCCGGGAGAAAGCACCACAACAACCGGCATTAGCCTAGCCTAGCAGCATTAGCCCAGATCACATCCATGGGCTTAATGTTGACAGCGTGGCCTGCAGCGTGGCCTGCAGCGTGGCCTGCAGCGTGGCCTGCAGCGTGGCCTGCAGCGTGGCCTGCAGCGTGGCCTGCAGCGTGGCCTGCAGCGTGGCCTGCAGCGTGGCCTGCAGCGTGGCCTGCAGCGTGGCAGACGATTGATAAAGTTAGCGTCAGATTTGGACTTCCGCGGTCAATAGCTCACGAATGCTACATTGTTAAACAAAAGTAATTGTGCCAAAATGATCAAAATTACGTCAATTGTTCAAATCTAATGCGCTGTTTTTATGCAGAGAAATCCATTGCTGCAATCGCCGAGAAAAGCGCTTAGGGAGCGTCACAAATGTCAAGACCAGCTTTGTAAACGAGCAATAGCTTTTAATGAAGTCTCTTTTTTATTTTTCTTATGACTAAAAAGCATGCATTAAGTCCTTAACCAGCCAAAAAGTTCCACCTGTTTATTTAATTTCATTTTTTACTAAGGAATTTTTTTTATAGTTTGTAGTGAAGTTCTAAAAACTGATAATGAAATTCCATGATTCCTGTGTAGATTGAAATTAGGACTAAAAACTGCTCAACCGGATCCACCCAAATGGTGTCCCTTATTTTTCTGTTCTCAAGTTGGCAACCCTACTCACTAACCACATAACAGGGTCTTCAGTTCAATCTGCATTTCAAAAGCATGGTGTCTCTTTAATATGGAATAATATTATATGCTAAAATGTATTAAATACTGGATAAAATACTGGTGATTTGTTTGTGGAGACTAGACACACAAAAAAATATATATATATATATATATATATATATATATATATATATATATATATATATATATATATATATATATATATATATATATATATATATATATATATATATATATATATATATATATATTAGATTCTAATATATAAATAAGAAACAATCTTGATTATTTTATGCAAGAACCTGCTAGACCTATTGAAATTCACACACCAAATTATACCGCAATATATACGTCTACCGTCTGTGACCCAAATTAAAACGCAATATGATTTTTAGGCCATACCGCCTACCCCTACCAGCAATACACATTGGTTGTGGTTATTGGCCCAATTTTACTTATCATTCCGCTGCCGATAGGTAACAAAATTATGAACATCGGCTGATATCGATACTTATACTAATGTAACATGCATCCCTAGTTACAACTTAGTCTGAGCTAGCTCAGAAGCTTCGACACATTTGGCAAGGAAAGCCTCAGTGTGTTACGGGCTTCATATGCCCATCACAAAGTAACTGTAATGGGAGATAGTTACTCAAAACTATTATTCTGAATACATTCCGTTCCCCCCAACACTGTCTACTGTGTGCGTGCAAAATACACCACAACATTTACATTAGAATGAATGGAGTTAAAAGGTAAAACTTCTCACATCTCAATAATACAAGATTTTCATCAAATTATAGAAATGAACATAAAGAAACAGAAAACAGTGAAGAGCAAAAATGTACATGAGAAGTACTTAAACTTCCAACAGATTGTCTGTTCTGAGAGTTCTGGTATTAAAGCTCGAAAAAGTTTTACAGCTTCAGCCCCTGGACAATTCACATCACAGGCCCACACTCTCTGACTCCCTCCTCTACATACTTCCCCAGGACTTCTTTTTAAACAAGTGTTTGACACTATTAAGTGCAGTCAATGAGCAGGCTTTTAGTTTTGGACTGGTTCTGGTTCTGAAACAATTGGTTTTCCACCAGAGAAGAGCAAGTGCTAGTTACCATAGCAACGCACTGTTTACTGTCAGTAGTTAGAATTAGCCTTTCAACAAACTGTTGTTGTATTTCAGTAATAATCACCAGTTTCAGCACTTATTGAAGTAAGTGCTTAGTTAAAATAAAATGTTACTTTTAATAAAATTGATGGAAAACTTGTGAGGTTTTTTTCAGAACTCCATTGATTTGAATAGGGGCAGTCAACATGACTGCTCTGAGAGTTCTAGTATTAAATGCAATCACATTTGAACAGGTTTTTACTTAATCTGATAAGTTGTTCCAGAGAGGCTCCACGCACATAATTCGAATTAATAGATCTCAATGTGAAACATGTAACACCTATGAGTGTTGCCTGTCTCGACTTAATAATGTTATGTGCATAATAGTGTTATGTGCATAATGAATAAAACAACAGATAACTGAAGAGGTCGTACATGGGTCTGACACATACGTATGACATTACATGGGTGTTAACACAGGAGCTGACAAAAACATCACAGCCTCTGTAATAAGATATAAATAAAGTGCATATTACGTTGTTATTATTTGAAAAGTGACGAGTTTAACACGACAGCGACCAGCAGTATTATATGCTGATATGGGCAGCATCTCCTGTGTAATAACAGTTTGTGCTAAGCTAAGTGGGTTAGCGCGGTTTGGTAGCAGCTTTACGTCACTGAGCTAACTACCATGAAATTTCCAAACGCCTTCATCGTTATCGGGATTATGCAATTACGTGACAGTGAATGTGTGGTTTTTTACTAGCGTGGTAAAACAATTATACTCGCTATACAACACGGGCCACACATTTACAAGAGTATAAAACGAGTTTGGGCTCAATTCTATGCTATGTACCAGCGTCATGTAGCCGCAGTGGCTAGCGCGCTAAGCTAATTCCACACTGATATGTAGTTTGACAGATGAATAAAGGCGCACATACCCGTGTCTGCCAGGTGCCTCCTTGTCTGTGTGTCCTGTCCACACTCACGCCTGACTGCAGCTCATTGCACACGCAGATTGGTGCAGTTATACCCGTGAGTCTAAGAGCAGAAGAAAGCATGGGTCTGTGTCTCCATGCCTCCTCTGCCTGTCTACAGTGAACCAGTAAGCAGCCCCAATGTGGTGACGCCTGCCTGTCTGTCCGTTGCTGCTATGTAGTATGGGCTCTGATTGTCCGCGAGTGGATAGTATGCGCTGCTTCTGCTGCTGCTGACATTCAGTAAATAACGCCTGCACACACCCACCAAGCACAACGAGGGGGAGAAAAGACTGTATCCAACGCCCAAATTCAAACATATTGAGCGATGAGAGGGCATACGTAATAATTGAATCCCTCACACGAAAAAAACTTTTAATAATATGATTTTAATAAGAGTTTATTTATGTTTAATTTCCATAAACATGATTTTTGTATGGCTCGTTTGGGCAAGGCTGCATCAAGGGGTATGTTTATTAATTGTGCAAAACAATATCTCAAGTCTTTCTGTCAATTCTTGTATACTGTCTCACATGTCTGTATGTGTTCAGCTGTCCTTGTACATGTCCTGTATATAATCTTGTGTACATTGTATTCTTTGCATGATTTGTATTGTTATGACTTGTTTGTTTTTTATGTTTTTTGTTAATTTAATGTTTTTTGCCAGGGGGTCTGCAGATGGAAATTAACCTAAGGCTATAATCTGGCATATTTCCATTGGTTAAATGTACATTAATATGCATTGTACCTCCTTTTAAAACCCAAATAAAATAAATAAATAAATTGTTTATGCGTGTGCAGATCGGTGCAGATGTATACAGCAATATTAACCACGACACCTGCAGTTTGGCACCTGGATTGATAAATATACGTTTCAAATTGTCCCAACCTCTCATTCCTTTGATAACAGTTGAATAACTAAACATTTCTAATTGTAGAAACCGAAACAAAACTGGACCAATGAAGGCTTTGTTTTATAGCTTGGGTTTAATATTGTTTACATTCAATAATGACTTATCGCGTTCAGGGTTCAATGTTTATGGTAATATGAATGCTGTGGTTGTTTTCCTGATAATATTTAAGATGATGTACCATATACTGTAACGGCTTGGCTCAGGTAATGAATGAGACAGTGTTCTACTTGTTGCTTTATTACAAGATGGTTACTGTCGGCCGTAACCACGCCAATACAGCTCCCCAACGCAAGCAGAACAGTAGCCCGTTAGTAGTCCCAAGCAAGAGAGCTTTATATCAAAACAATCTTCCCCAGCCTGTAAGTGCACTAAATAGTGAAGAATAACATGCATTTAACAGCATATACAATTGAACAGTAACATAAATGCAAGGTCGCTACACTACCTTATTAGCCCAGACTCTCAGTGGGGCCGCACTCACATTAAACTCCCTCTCTGGTCTCTCTCTCCTCTCTCTTGTCTCTCTCATTGGTCTCTATCTCATCTCTCTGATCACTCTTGATAAAATGTAAGACAATGTATGATACACCTTATCAGCCCAGACTCTTAGTGGGGCCGCACTTACATGAAACTCTCTCTCTCTCTCTGATCTCTCTCTGTCTGGTCTCTCTCTCTGGTCTCCCTCATCTCTCTGATCTCTCCATCTTTGGTCTCTCTGATCTCTCCATCTTCGTCTCTCTGATCTCTCTGGTCTCTGGTCTCTCTGATCTCTCCATCTTCGTCTCTCTGATCTCTCTGGTCTCTGGTTTCTCTGGTCTCTGGTCTCTCTGATCTCCCTGGTCTCTCCGGTCTCTGGTTTCTCTGGTCTCTTTTGAGATCAATAAGGTTTATCTTATCTTATTTATCTCGTCTCTCTGGTCTCTGAACTCTGGTCTCTCTGGTCTCTCCGGTCTCTAATCTTTCCGGCCTCCCTTTCCGGTCTCCTTCTCTGATCTAAAAATGGTTGTCACTATAGGTTAGAATTCCATAAACATTAAAAAGACACTCTATTGAAGTTAATTTTTATTTTTACTCTGCATACAATGAACACAAGGCATTGAAAATCACAACATTGGTCAGAAACATCACAGTTTGACCCCTCCCAAACCTGCATGGTGCAGTTTTACCTCTGCTGCCCTGTTGCTGCTAAATCCAAGTTAATCCCTGTCAGCAGCTCTCCTCCACACGATCGACTCAACAGCTCCTTTAGCGCTTCGTTCACATCGTTATTTAAAACATTTGAGAAGTTACAGGCAGGAAAGCTCCCAGTGGTGTCCAGCGGGAAGGAGCCCACCACCTCCTGCACCCACTTCAACTCGTGGCTGAGCTCTGACCGTAGCTCCTCAAAGTGCTTATGTCTCTCCTGGTATTGACCGCTAATGGTGTCCAAGCTGGAGCTGAAGGCACTCATGTCCTCCTGCAGATTCTTCTTCAATGCCTCCACTTTGCGAAACTCGTACCGTATCTGTGATAGCTCGTGACGCACCTCCTCACTCTCCTCTTTGTACCAGGCCTCCTTGTCGTTGTAGATGCGCACCATGGCGTCCACATCCTCCTGTAGGCCGTCATGAGCCGAGGCCAGGTGCACGAAGGCACTCTCCATCTGCTCGATGTCCTCCACCACTCGAGCAAAGCGCTCAAAATTCACGTAGGTGTTGTTGGGCGGCATGCTAGAGTGGGACTTGATTGTGTACTCTCGCAGGCGCTTGGTTTTCAGTTGGCGACGCTCATGTTTCTTCGGCTTCTGGGATTTACTTTCATCCTTGTTTTCGTTGGACTGTGGGTAAATATACAATTGTTGTTGTTGTTGTTAAATACATTAAATAAAAAACACAAACAGACCATTGGAGCATGGATCTATAATAATATCTGGATAGGGTATCACAAGCTTATAGCTGTCCCACCCATGGGCACAGGGAGCGCCCAAGGTACTGCAGACAAAATTCAGGCGGGCTACTCAGAAAACTCAATGTAAACTAAAACAGCTCAATCTCAGCTGACAGAGAACCTACAGCTTTCATAAAGCTCGGATTGTTTGGGAATTTTAGTGTCCCTTGTCATCCTGAACTTTTTGTCTTGTTTTTAGCTTGAAATCGCAGATTTTTGTCATATTCTTCTCAAATATGACAGAGCGGCGCGCCGTGAGGCGAGCCTCACTTGGAAGACGTAAAAGCAACAGCTCACAGTGGAAGGAGCCCATGCGGCGCTATCAATCTGTTTTCACTGTTTATCGCGGTTTACAAAGTGAAAACATATTTGAGAAGAATATTTGGACAGTTGAAGACTGTCCAAATAATGAAACGCGCTCTGTCATATTTGAGAAGAATATGACAAAAATCTGCGATTTCAAGCTAAAAATAATTTAGATAAGTGCTATTGTATTATTTCAATGTAACTTTGCCTTATCACTTGATAGTATTATTGTTTCCGTTTTATTCTTTATTATTTCCATGATCTTAGGCCTCACCTGCCTCATCTGACCGCACGTCACTGGAGGAGAGCTAGCGTCACGCTAGTTTTTACTCAGCACTTTTTACGGCCTAAATTCATACACTAGCTGAATCAATGAGCTAACGCTTTCAATTAAATTACGGATTTTAACACAACTATGAAGTAATAAGCATTTTATTGAACTCATTAGAAAATAAATCGGGTATAGCTTCTTTAATACTAATTCTCTACTCTACCTGGTCACGCTTCTATTACGCTTTAGTTTCTGGTATCGTACCCTAGCAACCAAGCCACAACAAACCAATATCAGGGGAAATTCCTTGCAACCATGGCTTCCAGCAGCATTCTGGCCAATCTTTAGAAGACTTTAGTGCCTGGATAGAACCAGGACCAAGAGGAACTAAAGAAGGACCTGGTACAGGTTAAACAGGGCCAGTGGAAACCCAATCAGGGTATAGAATAGAGCAGAGCAGAGATGAGCAGAGGTGGTGGAAACAGGCTATAGAGAGTACTAAACCACAGATTTAATCCCAAAAGGGTGAGTGTGAAACAAACGGTAGTTTAAAACTAGCCAGGAGTTTACTTTTTAATGTAAGTCAATAGGAGTTTTTCTCCTTTCCTTAAGGTTGCATTACCTCACTTTATTTTTGTATTCATTACAAAAATTCAATCCATATCCATGCAATGCATTGGGATATACGTCCTTTTGAAGAAAAAGAAGCGCAGATTTGTGCTGGCGTGTCATTTTACTTTAGATCGAGTTTTCGTGAAACAAGGAAGAGAATGTGTTTTGGGTCTCAGATTGTGACCTATCACAGTGGACCACTGGCCCCCGCTTTCTTGAGAAACTCTACAGGTCTCTCGATAGCACAGACAGCTGAGGTAAACAAGCGGCGGAGGCTAACCTGAAGCTTCCCGTGTCTTCGTTACTGCTTACACAGCAAAACAGCAATCCAAAAGAAAGTTTCGTCCTCTCCGCGCTTCCCGGTTCTATCATTCTATGGTCACGCCATCCATGTGCAAATGTTCATCAATATTGTGAATCCAGTTATAATTTCGGTCTCAGATTGAGAGGTTTTCTGTTGGCCTCATTACATTAGCGTGAGATTATCCCAAAGTCCGTAATGGAAACTCCAACAGATGAAACCCACTGATGGCTTTTCTACTGTATCATAAATTATAACGTGTCTGTACCTTGATCCAGGGGTGATTCAGAGCTTCTTGAATCGTTAACCGCTTCCTGCAAAAGATAAAACACATGAGCGTCAAACCAGAACACTTATTTAAAGAAGAAAATAATGAGACTGTCATTTCATGTTTTAGAATGTGGGATTATATCTACTGTATAAAATATATGGTCAGAGAAGTATGAAGGGTAAAAAATAATGCTTTCAGTCTGTAACGCCCTCTGCTCCCCTCAGAGGGAGCAGCAAACGTGATTGTCAAGAATGTAATTTACCAATTAATTCTTCAAAGTACCAAAACTTATTTATGGGCATTCACTTTGTTTTAAAGAGACTGTTCTGAATGTGATGTCATAGTGGTCTCTCTCTCCCTCTGGTCTCCCTCTGGTCTCTCTATGGCCTCTCTTTGGTCTCTCTCTCTGGTCACTCACTTTGTGTCCTTCTCCAGCAGCTGGCTGATGAACTTCTTGGAAAGGTTGCTGGTGTGACAGAAGAACTCCTCGTCAAACTCATAGTTTACGGCTGTGATGTTTTCCAGCGTGTCCTGTTTGGTTTCCCCCAGGAACGGAGATGCTCCGCTCAAGCTTCACAAACGACAAGAGCCTGTTTTAGAGCTGCATCAAAGCCAACTGTATCCATCAAAGCCAAATGTAACAAAGAGGGTATTAACCAACGTATGCTGTGGGCCTATTTTGTCTATTTTTTGTATAAGTTTGTTTATTAGGAATGCAAAATCTGTTTACGTTACAGATCCACAAGCAAAAAAAGCACATTCTGATTTTTATTTTTTCAAACAAGAACTTTCGATCAAAATAAAACCCCTCTCCCAACTTACTCCTCTCTCTACTACTGTACAGCACAATATGTGCTACAATGACAGTGAAATAAATACAAAATGCATCAGTATACCATGGAAATGAATTATGATTAAGTAGCCTAACAGGGATCAAGAGCCAAGGTCCAATGTTACCAATAAGGTCAAGAAGGATGTCCATATTTGTTCAAAGACAGTGAGCTTCCCCTTAATCGGGTGAATTTCCTCCGGGGTGCAGTACGATGAGAGTTTGTTAATCCACTGTGTTCGGCTGGGAAAAGTAGAAGCTTTCCAAATTGGGGGGAGAATGCATTTTTTGGCCACGGTGGCTGCCAAAAGCACAAAATATGTTCTTGCAGATCACATAACCAAGCGGCTACTCCACCTTGTGACCTGTCCTGCCCCACCCAGCGGCTACTCAATCTCGGCGGCTGTGACCTGTCCTACTCCATTCCGAGGCTACTCCACTGCTGCTGTGACCCGTCCTGCGCCACCCAGCGGCTACTCCCTCTCTACTGCTGTGACCCGTCCTGCTGTGACCCGTCCTGCTCCATCCAGAGGCTACTCCACATCTGCTGCTGTGATCCATCCTGCTCCGCAGTGGCTACTCCACATCTTCTGCTGTGACCCGTCCTGCTCCACCCAGAGGCTACTCCATCGCTGCTGCTGTGACCAGAAGGGCTGTTGCGGATTATTTGTTTGCTTTTTTAAATGATACATTTTATTTTGTATTTTTGCTGCTAGTGGACACCGGAATTTCTCTAACCGGGATCAATAAAGTATCTATTTATCTATCTATCTATCTACATCTTCAATGAGGCTACATCTCCTAGGATCCAGATTTTGGGATCAAGGTCCAACTGTAGGCCACATATCTTAGAAGTGATATTGATCCCATATTGCCAATAAGATTGCAGTTCCATGGCATTTGCACAAGGTTACCTGTTGACATATTGCATCTTTGACATTGATCAGAAATTCAGACTGGAAAGACCTCACGCTGCAGTGCTCACCCCATCCAGAGCTAGCCTCTCCAGCCTCAGCCAATCACACCCAATAAATCACACAGCTCGGCCAGCCCCCTTGCCAACCTACTGACAGCAAAAGCAGCCACTTCCTACTAACCAGCGCTTCTTGAAGCTTTTGATACCCTCCTCGAACTCCTGCTCTGACTCCTGCTTTGGCTTCTGCTCTGGTCCCTGTTCTGGCTCCTGCTCTGGCTCCGCCCCATTCGCACCATGCCTCTGGCCACCACCAGTGCTTGACTCTGGGGGATTTGAGATAATCCTCAGCAGCAATGATCTCCCCACTGCATGTGCCACTCCCAGGGTCAACGCGCCAAACAAGAAATCTTTTTAAATGCATTAAAATGTCTGTTTTCGTTTCTCCAGATTGAAATACTGTTATCAAATGTACTTAATCTTAATGGAGTGAAATATGTTCGGTGAAAAATATTGAATTGAATTTGTCTGTGCTTGGTAGATACTAGTTTTGTCTGAGCAAGTTTCTGTAAATTGTCCTATATTTCGTTCGTGTAGCACAGGGGTTGGCAACTCAAAAGGTTCAAAGAACCATATTTGAAAAATAATAATAATAATATTACTAAAAACATCTTTCTGGAGCCACAAAAAAATAACAGCCTTGTATAAGGCTTAAATGAAGGTAACACAGACTGCAAGCTGTATTAGCTATATTAGCCTAATATCTAAATGACAAATACATAATAAGCATTCATGATGATCAAATGTGTACTTTCACTGCAGCATGTCCTGGAGAGAATGATGCACCACGTGACGACTCTGCTTTAAGTTTAACTTCCATTTTTTAATACAGTACATAAATCAATCACATCACAGGCTGAAGTTTGCTGGAGCTGAATTAATGTCCTTATTGGCCCTTTCTTTCACCGTCTTTGTGAGTTTTTTAAAGTCTGAAAATAGGTAGAATTTTTGATGAATGAATCCTTCAGTGAACAGTGTTTGCGCTTCATTGTTCCTCGTGTTGCAACAAAACCTCTCATTACAACGCAAACATGAAGCAGTCCTTCCTCATTGACTGAAAGCAAATGTTCATTCTTATTCTTAGTCCAGTCCCTTTCCAACTTAACTTCCCTTTGGAAAGGATTCACTTCTGATTTGCAAGTATTTGAAAAAGTTGTGCTTGTTCAAATCATAAAATTTAGATAATTTGCTGAAGTCTGCAAACATGTTATTAATATAAACATCAGTGAAATTTTTAATACCTTTCTTGACCCAGGTTTGTAATAGTCCATCTGCAATGAGCCATGGGATATTAGGGTTCTTGTCAAGAGGTGTATTTGCCAATAAGCTTCAGACCAAGAAAATTGTGTAATTGTTGCCATGCATTAAATGTATTTAAAATTATTTGGGTTTGCGTTAAAGCTAACAGTTTATTCTTTGCCCCTAAAAAGGGAATAATCAATAACGGCAAGGGATGCAGTTTGTGCAGCTCTATGGAGAGCCATCTCACCTCCTCCACGTTTGGGTGGAGCCAGATCGATATTGCTCGGAATTGCACAGCCAAATAATGAAATTTGAAGTTTTGGAGATTTAGTCCACCCTTGATGTGCGGAGCTTGTTGGTGGTTTTACTCTAGGTATTTTTTCATGTCAAAGGCCTTCTCCACATCCATTGAAATTATCAGTGTAGGTTCTTTTTGTCTCTGTGCAAATTCAGTAATATGCAAGAGTTTCCTGACATTGTCCGCACCCTGTCTGTTTTTAACAAAACCAGTCTGTTCAGCATTAATAATTTTGGGGATAGCTTTTTCTAACTGTAACGCGATGATTTTGGAGATTACTTTGTAATCCGAATTAAGAAAACTGAGGGCTCTGTAGTTGTTGCAGCTCTGCGCATCTTTTCCAGGTTTAGGAAGTAAGGTTACAGTTGCTAGCTTCAAGGTGTTTGGAAGAGTTTGTCTCAAAAATGCTTCCCTGATTATATTTGGGTGGCACGGTGGCTGAGTGGATAGCACTCTCGCTTCTCAGCAAGAAGGTCCTGGGTTCGAATCCCGGTCGGAACCGGGCCTTTCTGAGTGGAGTTTGCATGTTCTCCCCGTGTCTGCGTAGGTTTCCTCCGGGTGCTCCGGTTTCCCCTACCACTGAAAACATGTACTATAGGTATGAATGTAAATGAGAGAGTGGATGGTGTTGATTGGGCCAGTGTGTTCGGCGACTCGCGTCCGTCATCACTGTGTGTGGAATGATTGGAACAATATCTGAACTCTGAACATTGTAAAGCGCTTTGGGTGACCTTGGTCTGTAAAATGCGCTATATAAATAAAGATTACTTACTTACTCACAAGACGCGATAGTATTTTTTTGGAAAAAGTTTTGAAGTATTTAATTGGATATTCATCTGGCCCTGGCGCCTTATTATTTTGTAAACTTTACATTGTCACCTGGACTGCCACCTTAACGTGGTGGGGGAGTTTGAGTACTCGGGTGATCCTGGGAGCTATGTTGTCTGGGGCTTCATGCCCCTGGTAGGGTCTCCCATGGCAGACAGGTCTCAGGTGACGAGTCAGACAAAGCGCAGTCCGAAGCCAACAATGAACAGCACAACAATGAAAACCGTGACGTTGCCCGGCATGGCGCAGCCGGGGCCCCACCCTGGAGCCAGGCCTGGGGTCGTGGCTTGCAAGCGAGCGCCTGGTGGCCGGGCCCGGCGGGCTCAGCCCGAAGGGACGACGTGGGCAGTCCCTCCTGTGGGCCCACCACCTGCAGAGGGGTCTGTGGTGGCGCGGTGCTAAGAGGACTGGGCGGCAGTCGAAGGCGGAGACCTCGGCGACTCAGTCCGCGGCGGAGACCTCGGCGACTCAGTCCGCACACACAACATCTGGCTCTTGGGACGTGGAACGTCACCTCACTGGGGGGGGAAGGAGCCCGAGCTCGTGGGGGAGGTTGAGCGATACCGACTAGAGATAGTCGGCCTCACCTCCACACACAGCTTGGGCTCTGGAACCCAACTCCTTGAGAGGGGTTGGACGCTCCACTTTTCTGGTGTTTCCCGCGGGGAGAGGCGGCGAGCTGGGGTGGCCATTCTCATTGCCCCCCATCTCAGCCGCCACGTGTTGGAGTTCTCCCCGGTGAATGAGAGGGTCGCGTCCCTCCGCCTCCGGGTGGGGGACAAGTCTCTCATTGTTGTGACGGCCTACGAGCCTAACAGCAGTGCAGAGTACCCGGCCTTCTTGGAGTCCTTGGGAGGGATACTGGACGGTGCACCGCCCGGGCAACCCCCGAACCCGGTGGTGGACACCGGCAGTAAGGGATGCTGTCAGGCTGAAGAAGGAGTCCTATCGAGCCATGATGGTTCGGGGGACTCCTGAGGCAGCTGTCCAGTACCGGCAGGCCAAGCGTGCCGCGGCCCGGGCTGTTGCAGAGGCAAACACCCGGGACTGGGAGGAGTTCGGAGAGTCCATGGAGCATGACTATCGGTCGGCCTCGAAGAGATTCTGGCAAACCATCCGGCGTCTCAGGAGGGGGAAGCAGTTCTTTGCCAACACTATGTACGGTGCGCGTGGAGAGCTGCTGACCTCGACTGGGGATATTGTCGGGCGGTGGAAGGAATACTTCGAGGTTCTGTAACGAGGTCCTCCGTTACAGAGGCAGAGACTGAGGATGTTGGGGCGGATACATCCATCTCCCTGGCTGAGGTCACCAAGGTGGTTGGCAGCCTCCATGGGGTGTTCTTTGGGGGGTTCTCCGGGAGTACGGGGTCGGGGGTCTTCTGCTGAGGGCCATCCGATCCC